CGAGTTGCGGTAAAAGCAGACATACTGTAAAAACACTTACTCGTTTAATCTCCCCGATTTATTATCTTTACTTTTTTTCTTCAAATTTCTTAACAAAATATTTATTTTCATTATATAGCACGTAGTCAGGGACAATGATTTTAAAAGACAAATTTTGCCAATCAATTAGACGCGCATACAGAATGAAAAAAAAACGCCAAAATAGTTTTTCATAGTAGCGGAATTAACTTCAACATTCTTTGGCTGATAACAAATTCTGGGTGGTTTTTTTATGCCTATTAATATAGAGAATATGGAAAAGCCAAAATGTTGCCAAAATACTTAGCAAATAAAATTTTAAGAATTTTGTTTCATGAAATCTGGTAATTAGTAGTTTTGTTATAATAGATTTTAAATTATGAATTCATGAGCTACTTTATTGAATGTATATAAATGGTAATTTCAGAAAAAGTTGGGGCAAATGTAACAAATATGAAATTTTGTGTCCATTATGATGCCCTTTTTACTTACTAATGTCATTCTAAAAAACTTGATGGAGTTGCCTACAAAAAACACCAAATTGATTTCTAAATTAAAATATACCATTGCGGATATTTTTTGCGGATAACTACATGTTAACGTTATCATTATGCTTTATTTGAACAAATTGTGTTTATTTTACTTGTTGTATTTTAATGAATTTCTAAGTTTAGTTTTAGCATTCACACCTACAAATACAGTTTGGGGGCATAATACTGCTCTTGCTGATTCTAAAATATACTTTACAGGTGGAGTGATTCCAAAACAAACAATTTGGAAGACTGTCAACGATTTCTTTAATACACCAAATGAACTTGCCACACAATCTAAAGAATTCTATTATTTAGATGTATCAAAAAATTTTAAATTAAACGAGGGTGTAATGCCTTGGACGGATCTTAGTATTGTATCAGAAATTCTTCCACCACATTCCTGGAGTGCATTTTCATTTTGTGGACCTGATACTTTAGTAATGTTTGGTGGAGATTTTGGTAAAGCAAATCCCATAAATTTAGTTTTTATTTATAATATAAAAACGCAGAAATGGAGCAATCCAACAACTTTCAATCAACCTAATAATGTACATACTCGTGCTGCTTGCGACACGAAGGGTGGAGTAATGTATATGTTTTCTTCAGTTATGAATATTTTGGATACAAAAACATTAAAATGGAAAGTTGGTAGTTCAATTAATATCCCACCGGGAAGATTTGATTATACTGCTACTTTATTACCAAATGGTAATATTGTTTATATAGGAGGCGTTTCAGGTGAAGTGGTAGATTTGTTAAAGGTAATAATGAAATAAACCATGATAAATGATAATATAGATAAAATAATGTGACTATTTCTTTTTTTAGTTACCTTTGTATAATATAAATGATGATACATGGTCTTCAATGGTAAGTTTTGTTATTGAAAAATTTAACTGATATAAGTTTTACATGATTTAATTTATTATTATTATTATTTATTTTAGACTACTGCTGGTTATTTGCCTACACCTCGAGGTCATCATTCTTCTGTTTTAGGTAATATAATTTTTTAAAATCATTTGTTTTTTATAAATATATAAATAAATTTATATTAAGAATTTTATATATATTAATATAGCGAAGGATGGTCGCATTATTGTATATGGAGGTTATATTAACCGAGGAACATTAATTCCAGTTTCAGATGATCTTGTAATATTAGATACAACAAGTTCTCCTTTTACCTGGTCAAAAGCAAACGTTTCTACCATTTCACCACTTTCACGTACATATCATTCAGCTACTTTAGTTAATGAATATATGATTGTAGCTTTTGGAAGAAATGATATTTATCTGCCATTACTTGGAATGAATGAAATATATATTTTGGATATAAGTGATAAATTTAATTACAAGTGGGTTAATGAATTTAATATTAATCCTGTTAGTACAGCACCAACTAATCCCCGAGATACTTCAATTGAGACTACAAATACTGATACTGGGACAGATCATAATAATACAACAAATGTTGGCCTAATAATAGCAACTGTAATTTCAACAACTTTACTTATTTTAGGAATAAGTTTATTAATTTTTTATTATAAAAAAAAACAAAAACAAAATCATCATCTTTATTATCAAAGTTAACTAAATGGACAAAATATCGTGTTTCATCATCATCAAAAAAAAAAACTTTGACAGCAGCAGCAGCAGCAGCAGCAATAACAACAACCTCAACAACTCATAATCAAAAAAATTTAAAAGGCATGATGATTTCCTCTAAAAAAAACACAAAGTCATCATCATCAACTCACATTAACGACGCCAACAACAACAACAATAGCCTAAGATTACCATTATCCTTATCTTTACCATCATTATTATCATCTTCATCATCATCACCACCACCACTGCCACCATCATCATCAACCAATAAAAAATCAAAAAACCCAATCAAACGTTCAAGATCTTCTTTTTCCAGTTATTTTGTTAATAAAGATCGTAGGATAAAAGATGATATAATTATTAATAAACCTTTGTCATCAAATAATAATTACAATTACAATAATTGTAATGCGAGTCCGGATTTTATGAACGAGAGATTATCGGTTTTATCATTTGATCAAAGATCAAGCAAATACAAGATCACTGCATCCAATTATCCATTATTAAAATCACCAACATTATTATCACCCTTATCATTACCATCACCATCATTAACAACATCAAACAACAATTGCAATAATAATAGAGTAATGGATAATACAAAGGTTATATGTGGATCAGTTGAACATTTTGCTTATGTGCGTACAATACGCAAAATACGTCTTATGAACAAAGAATATCAATCACAACCATTACATCGAGTCATTTTATTAAATAATATCTTGGAAAAATTATCAAATGATTCAATTCAAGAACGAGAACGCAAGGAATTAAATGTTTATAAAGCAAAAATTTTTGAAATAAATGTGAAATGGAATAATAACAGTGGTAATAGCAACAACAGTAATTACTGTAATAGTTTAAGATCAAGAAAGTCAACTTTAGCACTTTGCGATTTACCTTTACCGTCATCTCGACCTTCTTATCTAAAAAATAATTGTTTAACAATCTATGATGAATCTTCAGATGAATTTATAGTAAAGGATATACCTTTAGCCCGTAGAAAGAACAGATTAAGTAAGATGAGCACGTCAAGTGATTCGAGTAGTACAAATACGCTAGTCCGTTCTTACTCCTCATCCTCGACCAAATCAACAGTTTCCGATGTCGATACATTGAATGATGACGATTGTCTAGATTTTTTTGATTGTCCATTCACGATGAAATCAATTGGTCCCATCAATAATGATGATGATGATAATGACGACGATGATAATACACCATTATACTATATAAAAGAACAATACTGTAAAAATGAGAATATTATCCCTGTGAAAAACAATCAATTCCGAAATACCTTGGCTGTATGATATATATAATTGATATATACATATAATAAAATAAGGCCACTTTTTAAAAATAAATCTTTTCTTTTCTTGTAAATAGTCTTTCATCTTTTTTTATATTAATTAAAAAAATAAAACAAGTAATAATCAAAAAATATTTAACATTATTTACAAAAATATAATTTAAACTAAAAATAGATTATTAAATGTGATCACTGGTAATTAAGTAATTACATAGCCCATTCATTGACTAAAACCAGATTTTAAGTTTGGGTCAACATAATTTCCCACCTTCCTTACAAGTCTTGATTCACATGACAAACACCATTGCTTGAAAATCCAAACCTTTTGCTAAGAAACCAACCCAATGATTACATATCAGTCGCAATTGTACGCATATGCTTTGAACTTATAAAATCTTTCATTGAAACGCAAAATTATAATTCATGGTTGATGACATGTCCCCCTCTTGGTAAAATAATATCACAATTTATCAATTAAATATATTTCTGCTGCATTAGAATGATGTTTCCATGCATGTAATGTCTATCAAACACCAATAGTCCATTTCGGGATTAAGTGTCACCCGTTCATTACGTCAACTGGTAAAGATTTATTATTATTATACTAACACAGATCTTATGTTCAACTCTCCACAAATATTTATTATCACTTACCAATTAAAGTTTCACATAAGCAATTTGTGCTACGATAGGTTCAAATTTGTTTAACTTTGTTTACTTTGGATTTTTGACAATTAGATGTATAATAATAAATACACCTGTGATTTTTTTTAATAGGTGTTCAACTCCTTACATTGGTGATAAGGAAGAACATATAAAAGTGTTATTATTGTTATTATTATTATTATTATTAATTTTTATTTATTTTTATCATATTAATATGTATGTATTGGTACATTTGCGTGAATTGTTATTCTTTCACCACAATATCATAATCACTTGATTTATTTCCATATATGAACTGTAGTAATCTATTAATTTTTATTTTATTTAATATGCTTTTTCTAAATTCTTACAAATAAAAATAAAAATTATTTTCATTCTCGTGGATAATTATTTATTTTTTTAGTGTTGCCCCAAAAAAGGGTGAAAAAAAATTTAATCGTGGATTCATACCCAAACATTAATAAAATAGCGTGCGCTGGCTGCAATGGACAAATTTTTATTATAAATCAGGCATGTATACAAGTTTTAATCAATTAATAACTGGATACAAACATTTTAAAACATTTATTAGTATGAAATTCATTAAATGTGTGCGTGCCGTAATGGCCAAAGGTCCAATTATAATACAAACATTTATTCATTAAATATATATTAAGGTTAATTTGAATGTTATGGTGTACTGTAAAGGATAAAAGCACAATTATTAATTAGGTTTATATATCCAAGTTGGCAATTAATAATACGAACATTAATATTAAATGTGTTATTATTTTGACCGGTGTTCTCTTTTTTAACTAAAGATCATAAAAGAAGGATAAAAAACAAGATTTATATGTAGAACGGTCAAAACCTAAGCCATATAATCACATAGATTTTATGTACTTCGTAATGTGGCATTTTGTGTAATTATTAAAAAACCTCGTTCGAATACTTTTTGGAGGTAGTGTATCTACACAAAATTTCGGCACACACAAATGAATTGTTAATACTAATTGGTCACAAGCAATACTATCTCGGACTAATAATTGGACTATTGTTCATTATGGAAATTCATATATAACTACTAATAATGATTTTTATTATGTAACGTGGTTGTGATCCTGGCCCCCACAAAATTAAACAGTTCGTAACTTTATTTTTTCATATTTTAATTACTCAATATCCTCCATATATAATAATCGGATTAAACAATCCAAAGGTGTGAATAAGAATAGCAACAGTGAAGTTTGTGATCTCCCAAAGGAATGGATATTGGTATGAAATTGGCTAACTTTTGTTAATTAGACGAAAGAATTGGCAAGACATTTCATTCTTTTCACATTGATTAATATCGCGTACAAGTCTTTAAAAATCAAATCATAATTTATTTAATAAGAAACACACAATTAAACAATTGATAATACCTTCTAGCGACAAACCTTAGTATAATTATTTTTAGATTTTACCTATCACGTTTCATTTTTTTTTATTTTTTTTTTGCGGAGGTGAACTTTCGAGAAAATAGTTGTATTGGTTTTACCTTCTACGATGATACACGTAAGTTACGACGCGTCGCTCATTCATTCTCTGACTATTTCAGAATAACTTGACGTCTAAGATAAGGCTGCGACTTTTAATAAATTTATTCCAATTTCATCACTGTGACATTTATATACATTCAATAAAGTAGCTCATGAATTCATAATTTAAAATCTATTATTAAAATTTTATAAATATGGACATTGCAAGCTTATTAAGAGATAATTGAAAGATAGCCACTGGAATAATAGTATTAATAATCTTTTTTCTGCTCCTTATTATTTATATTAGTTGGGAAAAAGAAGAAATTAAAAAAAAGATTGATGAAAGAGTTTTGGTGTGCCCCATCCGCGGTATTTTGCGGACAAAAAAGTATGATACCAGTGGCAATTATACCGAAGAATACCAACGAATTAGATTGATTAAATATCTTTTACGAAAAGGTTATCCCAAAAGTCAGTTTATTATTGAATATGCGATACCAATCGGACATAAAGGACATAATACTCTTCGGGTTGATTTAGTAATCAAAGGACCAAATAGATTTATTTGTGTGGCGGAGGTAAAAAAGAGTTATAGCAAAGAAAATATGAACTCGGCTATTAAACACCAACTAGTACCGGCCATGCGAATAGTTAATGCCAAGTATGGAATTTATTTTGATGGCAGCAAAAAAAGTCGTTTATTATCAAGGAATAATGACGGAACTCTTTCGATGCGGGAGTTTCCTTAATTTTTCTTAGCAGAAGGTTTTTTTTTACTATTTAAAATTAGAGCCAGTGTTGCCAAAGCAACTCCCCCAATAATTAATCCCACATAAAGAGTGTAATTGTTTCCATTTGGTTTCGTAGGATTAGAATTAGTCTTTAATTCGGAAAGAGAAACAGATTGCCGATTTTGGTTTTGGATAACTTGTTGTAATTCCTGGTCGTTGGCTTCTAATACTTTCCTTT